GAGAATGAAAACCTGTAACTGATCATAGTAAATCATTATAATCAGTTCCAGGTTTTTATTCTCACGCACTCATATAGGTAATTATTTTTGAATCCAGGCCAAAATGTTATGTCATCATATATACGTATAAATTGGTCAGAGTTCAAAAATGATTACCTATATATATATATATATGTGAACAAACCTTTTTTCACACGTAGAGGCATTAATTGATTTACAAATTCGTACGTACGTACGTACGTACGTATTACAAATTTTATTAATTGTTTACTCAAGGGTTAGCGTTAGTAATGTTCACAGTCTTTGCTAATATTTTACGGGAATTTTTTTTTTTGTTAGAATCCCAAAAAGTTGTTTCATAATCAAAAAGGTTGACATAAACATACCTTGTGTACAGACACGTAGTACAAATAGTATTTCCCTATATATATATTTTTTTCAAAAAAACCTTAATGAGAACACAATTGTTATTAGCATACGAAATAAATTAATTCTTTTGCCTTATGGGAAATAATACGATCGCGCAATACTCGAGCATAAATGACAGAATAATTCAGCAAAACCAAAATGATCCTAATACTCCATGTCGTTGGGACTTGTCAATTATAACTAATTGCGAAGAAAGCATATACTTTGTTCGGATATATTACATTTCAATAGTGTTATGTTTTATGATCTTAGTTTTGTCACTAATTATTTTAGTTTATAAGATTCCTTGGAATAATAATCTAATATTAAGTATGGAACCCATTAAGGGTTTTTTGATCTGGATGGCTTTATACGGAACATGTATGTATCATTATAAAACTTGTATTAAATACAAGCTTCAAATACTCAATTCCTGGTATTATAGTCTATAACAATAGCAATTAAATAATTATCATTGTTTTTTTTTTTCAGTTCGAGCCGTTTCGATGTTAATAATAACGAATGATTGGTTGCACAATAATTATATTATAAAATCGATTATTCAAAATTTTGGTTGGTTGTGTGGATGCACTGCTATTGCAACATATTTAGTTAGCATGTAATTTTCCTTCTTTATATAAAATATTTCATTTATACATAACGATAACTTTATATAAATTTAAATTTCAAATTTAGATTTAAAGTGCTTCCTCGATTAGCATTACATCAACACACTGTTTTCAGTATCAATGCAGACCTTCCTCATGACCATCTGACGGTTAATCGTTTCATACCAAGCAATAATACAATATTTAGAATATATTGGACGTTTACAATTACTATAATTACTTGCAATTTAATACTATCGATATTAAAAGGATATTTTCAAATGACTGATCAAGAATCATTATTTAATATAATTCAATCTATTATATTAATCGAATTTAGCATTTCATATTTGTTAGGAGCTTTGTGTTTCTTAAAATATGGAAGATTATTGGTTAAATTGCTTGATGAAAGTGCTATAATATTGGGATTGAAAGATAAAATAAATTCAGTGAATTCAGAAAATTATCGTACTTGTTTAACAAAGGTATATTTTTTTTTCCTGCAATTGAATAAATTCTTGATAATTACATAACACTTATATAATGCATAGCTCAGGGTTGTGAATCTTAGCCTCTCGATTACAGCTTGCTGGTTAGGACTTGTGGCCTTTTTTGTAGCTTTCTTCAGAAATAGGTTATCTCAATTCGCAGTATGTCAAATCATATTAGCAGTTGTAACTTTTGATGTAACCGCTATGATAAAGTTAATTACGCTTCTTGGAATTATTTATGGGTATGTTTAGTTATAAAATATTGATTTGTTAAAGTAACAGAAGAATCATTTACTTTTTCATTCATACAACTTTTCGAATTTATAGTGAAATATATAAACGACACAGTATCAAAGCAGAAGAAATTACGACTTCAATTATTTCTGATATTACAGCCTCGGATATTACCAAATATAAATGGTGAAATCTTTATTTTTTTGGAAAAAAAAAACATATAAATGATGAAATCTAGTAAAAAAAAAAAAAAAAAAAAATTATATAAATGTTTAAATTTATGGATAAAATTTGCTCCAAATAGCTTATTCATAATGAATAAATGTAATATGTAATTATATTGACAAATTTGAGATTTGACATTTAGGATTAAACTAGTTCTCAGACCCGGGCAATGCTCCGGGAATATGCTTTCAATTTTTTAGTTTCTAAGTTGTTTTCATTTTTTTTTTTTTAGCTTTCTAGCTCCCAGGACTGGGTTCAAATGAACCCAATTTGATTCACTTGAACCCAATTTGGGTTCACTTGAACCCGGCTTGGGTTTAAATAAACTCGATTTGAGTTCACTTGAACCTGGTTTAGGTTTACTTGAACCCGATTTGGGTTCACTTGAACCTGATTTGGGTTCATTTGAACCTGGCTTGGGTTTAAATAAACCTGATTTGGATTCACTTGAACCTGGCTTGGGTTCAAATGAACCCGATTTAGGATTACTTAAATTTGGCTTGGGTTCAAATAAACCCGATTTGGGTTCATGTGAATCTGGCTTGGATTTAAATGAATCTAATTTGGGTTTACTTGAATCTGAATTGGGTTCAAATAAATCTGATTTACTTGAATTTGTTTAATTTTTTAAATTTTTTTATTTTTTATTCTTATTCTTATTTTTTTTTTATTTTATTTTTTTATTTTATTTTTTATTTATTTTTTTTATTTATTGTTTTTCTTATTTTTTATTCTTTTTCAATATCTATGTTTGTGAATATTATGTGTTACATACTTTTTGTATAACTTTCATATTTTTGTATATAAATATGTATATATATACATATATATGTATTATTTTTTTAAGTTTTTTTTATTAAAATGAAGCCCAAAATCAATTGTTATACAAATTTGTAGAATATTCATAGCATCAAAAGTGGTAAATAGAGGTGGGTGGGCAGATTAATAACAATTATTAACAATTATTAAGGGTGTATGGGTAGGTTAGCTGTTTTTAACAATTTTAATAAAAATAAGCTAAGTTAATTTGTTTGTTTATTATTATTTAACTCAGAACCTCTGTTAAAAAAGTTAAACAAATATTTGAGCATAAGTGTGACCAAAATTTGAACTTTAGTAGTTAAGACTAGCTCTTAGACCCGGGCGATGCTCTGGGACTAGGTCTTAAGTGTTTTTAATCTCAAATTCAATAGTTTTTTAAATTTCAAAATATGTACTTATTTATTTTAATAAA